CATTTCCTTTCAGTAGAACCCTGTAGAAGGCCTTTCTGAAGTCACTGTAGACCGCATCGACCGATGAACCCACTTCCAATGAATTCGTCTAACCTTCCATAATTGTTAGCAGGTTAGTGGGACAGGATCAGCCCCTTCTAAATCCGTAAGGATAATAATAAGGTTTATTTTTAAAGCACTTAGAAAGTTGTTCTTCTCAGTATGTCTCATCGATTCAGTTTTAATTATTTTCTCCATTACTTTGCAACAAACACTTGTAAGAATCGCAGGTCTTAAGGCATTTGGGGAAGTTCTCTCGTCTCCTTTATAAATATGGGTTATGTTGGCCAGCTTCCAGTAGGTAGGCAAAGCCCCCTCCTCCATCGAACTTTTGAAGATATTGGAGAGCGAGTAGGCTGGCTGTTCTGCGAGCTCGTTCTGAACTTTCGCTGATATGCCATCCGGACCAAGCGATGTAGTGGAGTGTAGCTGTCACAGGAGTTTTCTTAGTTTATTTGTTGCAATCGCAGCCCTGCTGTTTGTATGCGTTAGAGTAACAATATATCATTCTGCTTCCCCGATAAATGGCGGATCTTCGGTATACAGAGGCATAAAGAAATTAGACAAGGGGTTCGTTCTGTGTGAGTTATCGGTTGACTTTTTCCCTGGTTGCGTAAGAAAAGAAAATTTTTGAATTGTCTGGTATTCTCTTGACTAATTCTGACTAAAAGACCGATCGTTCTCTCCAAATTTTTCGATACAAGTTTTGCTTTTTCTTACAAGTGGAGAAATTTTCAGGCTCTTGATATCTGGCCTATGATTTACGCAGTCTTCACTTCTTCTTGGGGTTCAATGATGACTCACAAGCCCTTTTTGAGAGGGCAACAATTCTCTACTAAGTGCTGAGTCGAGTTCCCAGAGAAGCAGCAGTAGGCAGTGTTTGGTATGGGTACGTTCCAGTAGGTTGCAGTCGATTTCGTTTAGTAGTCTTTCCATTTCGGTATAAATTCCTTTCCATGCATTCTTCTTTCTAGCTAACGGCTTCCAAATTTTCGGCTGGAATCATGTGAACGACCACTCTTAAAATTTTTCTACTGTATCGATACATTTTTCAGTCACCAATAGGGAGCTCAAAAGCGTTTGCCTATCTTTCCATCAATAAAACTTAACTGACCTGAACTGTATCATTGGAGCTTTCTGGCATCGGGTTTAGTAAGAGAAAATACTTCAATCATTTTACTTCCCGCTGCCGTATCTAGC